CAAAAGGAGCCTAACCTCAAAACCATACGCGAAAATCACTTTCAAAAGCTTCATGACGCCAGAAGGGTTTCTTAAACAAGACACAAAAAGCTTTCATCAAAAAGTAAAAGCCTGAAAGATTCAAGAGAAATTCAACGGAATTAAAATTAAGAACTTCTGTTCATCAGAGGACCATTGAAAGAGTGAGAAGCAAGCAACCAGCGGGAGGTGCATTTGCCACACGTGTGACTGACAAGGGCTCTCTGAAGAGCTCCAAATCAATAGGACGAGTGATGGAAAAACACAGAGAAGTCACAAACGAGGAAGCCCAAATGGGCAGTAATCCAGGGCCGTGCAATTAACGCTACCGCTACCGGAGGAGCAGCTCCCCGCCTGTGGCCTGAGGGAGCCCAGTGAGGGGAGGCTGCGGAGACACAGGAAGTCCCAGTGCCGCGGGGAGGGTGTGGCCTCATCTCCTAAAGCTGGCCGTGGGCGTGCCCTGTGCCCCAGCAGTGCCGCCCCGGGGTATCCCAGGAAGGCTGCACGTGCTCCCCAGCACCTGGACAGGCACGGACACAGCAGTTTCATTCACAATGGTCCAGGCTGGAAGCCGCCCGTCCGGATGGCCATCAGTGAACAAAGAGGTAACTTCACTCACAAATGCCGTTCCCCAAGACAGCCAGCCATGGGCAGCTTCCACGCACTCTAAGGACACCTCTCGAAAACATGATGTTTTAGTGGAAAAAAAAAAAAAGCCAACCTGAAAGCGCAGGCTAATTAGACACCATGGATGTGAAGTTCCAGACCGGGCAAAACAAAACGATGTCAGTTAGGGATGCTCTCCGGCGGCCAAATCGGGAAGGAAACAAGGAACCACTTTATCACAAAAGCCAGGATCCTGAAGACTTCCCGGGGAGGAGGAGGGGGCTGTGACTGGGGAAGGGTCTCGGTGGGGGCTGGTCCCTGGGAGGTCGGCAGCATTCAACTTGTTGACCTGGGTGGGGTCGTCCTAAAGTTAACTTCTAAACGGCACAGATGTTTATTACTTTTTCTAGATGCCTATCACACTTCACAACTTTGAACAATTATATTGTGGGGGGAGGGGTGGACTTGGAACAGGAATAGCTCTGGGTTTCCTAGGCACCTTCTGTGTCCCAGGTGCCATGTGAGGCGCCTGACCCACTTTGCTCTATGACAGAGGAGAGAACTGAGGCTCCCACAGAGGAATTGGCTTGCCAAAAGGCACGCAGCAAAGCGGCCACGGCGGGAGTTAAGACAGGCGGAGCCGGGGCAGACAAGGCAGAGGAGGGGATTAACTTGGGATTAGCAGTGCAGCGGCTCCGCAGGCTGACAGCCAGCCGGGACTCGCTAATATCTGCAAATATTTGAGTGTCACAGGAAGAGTTTTTCAAGAAGTCAGAGGCAGGAGAGCTGGGTGAGCGAGGGGCAGGGGGCATGCATCAGGCCAGAGCAGAGGCGGCCAGATCTGGGGCTGGAAAAATGGACCCCATGCTCTGCTCGCAGGGGCTTCCTTATGGGGCGGAGAGGACAGAGGACACCCCACCGACCTCCACTCCCCACCCCTCACCGGTCTCCCTGAACACAGCCTTGTTTCCTCAGGTCCCCAGGACTCTGCACCTCTAGGAAGGCTCGTCCTATCTGTCCTCCTTGCAAACTCCTATTCATTCTTTAAGCCTTGGCTCAAGTGTCCCTGCTTCCAGGAAGCCCTCTCTGATTCCCCAGGCTAGTGTCTCCAACCTGGGATCCCTGGGGGCCTGTGTTTTGGGCCTGGGTCCCTGTTCTGGAGGGCTGACCTGTCTCAGCACCAGCGCAGGACCTGGTACACAGAGGGGGAATGAGCCCAACTTGGGGTGAGGGATAGGAGAGTCACAAAAGCCACAGAGAAAAGTGACAAGGAGGATAACTAGACTGTCATGTGGACAAGAAGGTGGGTGGAAGGGCATTCTGAGCAGAGACAACAGCATGAGAGGCATGAAAGGCAGAGAGGCATGAAGGTGACAGCTAGTTCGGGACTCAGAAGTGGGGCTGCAGCGTGGGGTGGGTGGTGAGGAGAGAGACTCGGGCAGAGGGAGCCCCAACCGGGGACCTGCTCACAAAGGGAGCCACTGAGGGTCACAGGACATAGTTCTTGTGGTTCGGGCACTGCGGGTGGGTGTGTGTGTTGTGTGACAAGTGTTGGACAGGGCAAAGGGCCTGCCCTCTCGGAGCTCAGTTCAGATTCCTAGGCCCAGCCTGCGATGCGGGCCCCAGGACGGGAGGAAGGACCCCGGCACAGGGCCATCCTGCTGGACAGCCAAGACCCCTTCACTTGGACCACAAATGAATCTTCTCCTGCCTGGGAACCCATAGTTGTGCGGTTCGGATGCCCCACAGTGAACCTCTACCCGGACCCCTGCTGTGGGCCAGGTCCCAGGTGAGGCTCGTCACCCCCAGTATCAGGTCATCCTCCCAACAGCCCTGCAAGGTGGGGGTGCTCAGGATACCCACGTTACAGATGAGGAAACTGAGCCCCAGAGAGGGTCAGGACTTTGCCAGAAGGCCCTGTGACCTACACCATGGGAGGCCATGCTGACCAGCTTCCCCTACATCCCTTGGGGCCTCTTGGTCCTGGACCCCCGACACTAAATGCAGGGCAGGGGCAGCCCCAGTACTGGCTGGGAAGAAATAGTCTGGAAAGGCCCTCGAGGTCGCTCTGAAACTACTAATAGGGTGAGAGGGAGAGGAGAGCAGGATGCTCCCCAATTCTGGGAGGCTATGCTGTGTCCTGGCCCCACGGAACCCCCAATCCCACCAGCTTCTGAGCTCTGCTTCCGATGCCTCAGTGCAGCCAAGAAGCCTGGGCCCTGGCCACTGCGACCAGCCTTCAGGATTCCACTCAGGGAAGCCCTCAGCCCAACCAACAAAGAGATGCTCTGTGCCCTCAGCAGCTGAGACAGTGGATCTGCCCACCCGGCTCACTTGTCCACCTGTGTTCTAGCCAGGCTGGGCCATGTCTCTGTCCCTACTGCTCAGAGCACAGGGATAGGTGCTCAAGAGCCTTGGCTGGGCATGGAGAGAGAGGGAAAGA